AGTGAGACAGCCTCATCTCAAGAAATAAAAACTTACACGTGCCTCATTGCCAATGACAGAACCACATATGGTGACCACCCTGGATACTTTTTGCCTGTCCAGTCTTAGGTCCTTGGGCTGCCTTTATTTATCCCTTTACTCTTTAAATCTACTCTTCTTAGGGTTCAGTCCTACCTCTGAAGATTGGATATATACTTTTTTCATGGTGACCTCAACCATCCTTTCTGCATTTCCGCCAATACTTTGCTGTATGGATAATTACTTAATTTAGGGAAATGGAAAAGGTTAATAAATAACCAATGGAAGAGTAGGGTAATTATGTTTTTAGCTACTTTCAAAATTTTTAGAGTCATCATCTAGATCTGATTGATTTCTTTGGGAGCTGCAAGTGTTGTAAATTAATTTGCTGGGTGAGTGAGTACCCTACAGTAGGAGAATGTGAGTACAAAGTTGTAGGAGACCAGTTTTTTAAGATAAGTGAGAAATTTGGGTTCATGTGTGAAACTGTAAAGATTTTAAAGCAATGGCAACTCATTTAGAATTTTTGATAATGTTAATTGTGGTGATTTGCATTGCACCTAAAAACAATGCAGCTGACTTCCATGGTCAACTTTTTATCTTTCCCCTGAATTTTCCCCATTCTAATCATGCCATTAGGAGTCATTGTTCTTAATCTTATGGAAGATGTTGGGGAGCAGATGTGGGAATCCCTTATCTCCTTAGGTTTTTATCTGCTTCAATCTCTTAGGTTTGTTCAGTAAGTAGGACACAGTAGTCTTATTCATGGGATGTTGGGCCCCACCCAGAAAAGTATTCTTTGGATGATTCCTCATAACTATTAATGATTAATCTCAATTTATTGACCAGTTACTGTGTAGCTACTATGTGCCTCAGACTGTGTGGGAAGGAGGCGAAGTTCATGAATCTGAATGGAGCTGTTCTGTGAATAATTCCATGGTCTTTGCAGGCACATTGTTGTTACTGAGTCACTGCTTTTGTTTTTTTCAGTTTATTGAGGTGCTAATTTACTATTCACACAAAGTATACAAGTTGATGAATTCTGGTAATTAGATACCATAGATATGCAAGATCTCAGGCAGTTATATTTCTCTGAAATGTTCCCTTGAAACTTCTGCAGTCAACCCCTCCCCTCCACCCAAATCCATTGCCCCAGGCAAGCCTATCTGCTTGTTGTCACTGTATTTTGGAATCATGTGGTAACTAGTCTTTTGTGTTTGTCTTTATTCATGTAGCATAATGGTGCATATATCAATATTTGTTATTTTAAGTTGTAAGTCCTAAGTTATTTTAAGTTGTTTAGTCCTGGGCTAAACCTGGATACTTACAAAATCTGCTATTTTGCTACTCTAAGGCTCCAGTTTCTCTTGCAATAGACTTAAAACTGAGGTGCTCACTGTAGATCTTGTTCCTCTGTAACCTGTTCTTTACACAAGACCCAGAGTGACCTATATAATGCAAATCAAATTGTGTCAGCTTCCTGCTTAAAACCCTCAATGCTTCCCCACTCCTCTCAACTGTAGCTAGATGATAAGTCCCCGTTACTTTCCCCTCTCTCACTTATTTCTAACTACTCTCCTCTGGACACCTTGGACACTTCAATCACCCTGGCTTACGTACGACAAGATGATACTTGTCTTTGTACCATTTGTTTTCTGTTTGGAAAACCATCCCCATGTCTTTCCAAGACTGGTGCAATTATTCAAGTTATTTTTGCAGGGACCAGTCATCTAATTGCTCCATCTACCCCACCCAGTCTATTTTTATTGTCAACGATTTTATTCTTTCAAAGTATATTAGTTGGTGGTCTATTTGTTTACCTGCTTATTTCCTGTCTTCCTATTCTAGAACTCTGAGAGCAGCCATATTAACGTTGTCACAGTTTCATCTCTGGCATGTACAGTGTTTCCTATTATGAGAACTTCTGCCCTTGAATGGATGCTTATGTCCACAAAATAACTGATCTTTCTAAAAACAACAAAAATTCATTTTTGTAAATTTTGTGTTTTCTCACTTTTGGCCTTTTAAGTATATTTCAAATCACCTGTGCTCTTTAAATTTAATTAAACAATTATAAATGCAATGATTGCCTTAAAAAGATTTTTAAATATTTTTCTCTTTAAATCACATTATATTAAAAATGTCAGATATCTCATCCGTCAAATATTTTCCTTGTTAGTTTTTCAACTAGATTTTCACAGAAGAAAATTTAAATCATAGAAAGTTTCATATGATTAAGTAAAGAAATGTTAATTTTTGTAAGTATGGAACGATTAAGTAAGAGAAATTAATTTTCCCCAAGATTTTATTATGTAAAATTTCAAACATATAGTTAAGCTGAAAGATTTGTGCAGTGAACACCCATATATCCATTACTAGATTCTATTAATATAATTGTTAATTTTTCTGTAGCTGCATCTGTCTCTTAATTTACCACATACCTTTCCATTTATCAATCCATCTTATTTTTTGAAGCATATCAGAGTAGGCTGCAAGTATTACCACACTCTATCCCTTCTCATATCAGCATGCATAATATCAACTAGAGTTCAATATTTTTTAAGATAAATTACACATAGTGAAATGCATAAATGTAGGTATGTTTAGCCCAGCCCCTATCAAGATATAGAATATTTTCATTACCCCAGAAAGCTTTCTTATGACCCTTCCCAGCCAATCCCCATCCATATGCCCACATAGGCAACCATTATTATGATTATTTTCCTGCCATATGTCAGTTTTCAGTATTCTACAACTTTATATAAGTGGAATTATATGTGTTGTATTTGACTTCTTTCAATCAGTATGTCTTTGGAATTTATCCATGTTGTGGCAAGTATCAGCAATTTGTTTTTTTTTATTCATTGTGTCGTATTCTATTGTTGGAATATGACATGATACAATTTGTTTATTTTCTCACTGATGAACAGTTGGGTAATTTCCAGTTTGGAGATATTGTGAAAATATTCTTTATGAATATTCTTGTACAAATGGATATGTTTTCATTTTTCTTGAGTAGATACATAGGCTTGGCAGAACCACAGCTGTTATATTAGAAATGTTAATTATGAGTTGAGCATTTGGACCATTTGTAATACATAACCTTAAGGACTACACTTTGAGAACCAATTCTTAAAGACTTAAATAAATGCAACTTCTGATCACCTGAGGCAAAAATGAACTGTAAGAGAGGACTTAGGTTTCTTGATTCCAAAGCTGTTGCCTTTCCAACTGGAACAGCTGTGTTGGAGGAAAGAAAGATTACTGAATTGGGTCAGAAAAACCAAGTGTAAGACCAACTAAGTTCAGGCACTTTCAATAGCCGTGACCTTACAGAAATAACTTAATCTCTTTGAACCTTAATTTCCTCATCTATGAATATAGATAATGATTTTCCTTAGGGTGTTGTTGAGGTTAATAGAACTGAGATATGTGTAGTGTTTTTCAAAAATTGCAAAAAAAAAAAAAGTGTGTAAGTTAAAAATTAAGTCAGAAACAACAACAATAACAAAAACACTTAGAAAAAAGTGGTGGGGACCTAAGAAGATTTGGGGCCAGGCTGTTGCTGAATGAGTCTTTATAGCACCCTTTTTAGTGTTCAGCTTCTAGACAGAGGGTCTGCTTGTTCTGTCTTACATCAGGGGCTCTCACCTTCAACTAGGGATTGTGGACACCTTGATTGGAGTCCCACCAGATCGTACCTGATATAATAGGTATGTTTCCTGCAGAATAAAATCAGGATGATATTCAAGAGGAATGGGAAATGGATGCTGGGCAGGCATAAACATCAGGTAAATGCCTCAAGGACTGTAATAACATCAGCATCCTTAGTGTGGTTATCATAATTTTATAACAGATGCTGAAGTGTGGGTATTTTAAAGAATCGATAATGGCTAATATTATTGGGAGTTCGTTTAGCATACATATAATATGTGGTTTTCTTAGTATTTAGTGTTTAGTCAAATTATTAAAAGTTTAACTTTTGCTCCAAATTAATAATCCCAAACAGATAGTCTATGCTGAGTAGTTTTAAGAGTTATCAGATCTAAAATGCTTTTTTTTACTTCCCTATGTGTTTTGCCTCCAACAGTTCCTATAAATAGCCCAAGATATTCTGTAAATTCTATTGTGTTAATATTTTATTATAATTATCTTTAAATAAGTCAGATAATATATTTTTTGACTTAGAGGACATTCCTAATAGTAATTATATTGATGAGATAATTTTCCATGTCTGGTGGTGGCCTTGAAATTATTTTATAAATAATTATTATGTGTCTAGTATTTTTACTTTCTCAACTTGATCTTTTCTTCTCTAACACACAGAATCCCACAGAGCAAATGATTGTACTTTCCCAAAAACTTTTAGGTAAGCTAGGATGAAAGAAAACGAACACAATAGATATCTTTTGAGTTATAGTTTTACTCTACTTATAGGAATGTTATTTCACCACTTTGTATTCTTTTGTTTAAATGCATATAGTGCATGGGGTAAGAATGTGTGACCCCAAAGAAGTCTCACTGGGATGATGAGAGATTTTTGGACAGGTATAGGGTGCCAAATGGATTTTTTTTTTAAGTTTTATTTTAAAGATATATTTATTTTTGTACAAGAGCAGGGGTACAGGCCAGAGGCGCAGGAGTGTGAGAGGATTCACCAGAGACAGAGAGGGCAACAGAACAGGCAGACTGACTGAAATACACTGCTGAGGGGAGCAGAGGGCATGACTGAAGAGGTCTGCCGCACCATGTGGGATTCTTGCTGGCCAGCATGGATTGAACCCGCACTACAGAGGCTGAGGACAGCTTCACAGCCCGTCGCTCAACCCGCTGCACCACCCGGGAGGCCCCAAATGGATTTTTAATTTGATAGTGTAATTCTCATGTACAACATCTCATTAAAATACAGTTTTCATAAAATTTACAGTGTGACTCCTTTATACCGTTTAAGAAAAGTGACAGTCTTGCTTTGTTTCTGGTAGATTCTGCCGCTCCTGTATTGCTACCAGTCTAAAGAATAACAAGTGGACCTGTCCTTATTGCCGAGCATATCTTCCTTCAGAAGGAGTTCCAGCAACTGATGTGGCCAAAAGAATGAAATCGGAGTACCAGAACTGTACCGAGTGTGACACCCTGGTAGGTGACCCGCCTCTGCTTCTGGCTTCAACTTAGGCCTCTGAGAACATTATTATTTAACTGAACAAAAATATTATGCCTTTGACCTCATCCTACCCCAACTTTCTAGAGTTTATTGTCTCAGAACCCTCCTTTTTTTCCAATTTCATATATGTCAGCTGCAGTAAAATGGTCACCCAACTCCAATCATCACCTAATCTTTCAAAGGCTTTCATCAGCAGGCTCCATTTCCTCTCTTCTCATTATTCCTGTGACTTCCATTCCTGCTACTCAGTTCCTGCAGACCGCCAATAAAGAGCTTTATTATCTAATCTAGCAGCATAATTCCATCTATATTATTCTGGGCTTTGCAGCATCCTCCTCTATTGACAGTTTTCCTTCTTTGATAACCTACTAGCCTCATTAGTTCATGTGAGGTCTTGGAAGCCATGCAAAAGATTCTTGATTTTATCCTAAATGCAAATAAGTGAGTCTTTAGAATCAGTATAAACTTGGGAGTGCAATAATCGGGCTTATATTTTTAAGCTATTGCTCTCGCATGAGCTCAGAGGATGATTTTGGAGGGACCCAAACAGGTCTGGTGAATTCAGTTCGGTGGCTGTTATGATGGGTCAAGTTAGGAAGGATGAGAGAAAGAGAGAGGAGAGATTGATTAGAGGTAGTTTTCAAAGTGTGTTTAGAAAACAAAACACAACCAAAAAAAAGAGTATTTGAGAGAGAGAGTGAACTGCAGGAAATGCTTAAGTGACTGGATGTGGGGGTGAGTGAGAGCAAAGTGTCATAAATGCCTCCAGGTTTCTGACATGAGTAGGTGAAGTTATTAATATGGGGTACAGATCTGGAGAATTCAGAATTAAGTATTAGCTCTATTAAGTTTGATCTACTAAGGGGAGACTATGAAGATAACACCAATCTAGAGATCAAGAGATTATGTACTGGAGATCTAATGTTCTTCAGAGAACATATCTTGATTATTTGTCTAAATTATGCTGACTACATTTTCTCTTAGCACTCTGCTTTCCTGTTACAGTCCTTGTAGCCATTTGTAATTGTTTTTGTGATTTTCTTCATGTCACTCATCCCCACCAAATTTAAGTTCCATGAGTGAACTTAAATGGAATTTAAGTCCTGTGCCTGTTATTGGCAGCTGTGTACCCAGCACTATGAAAAATGACTGGCACATAGTAAGTGCTTAGTGTTTGTTTCTTTTCTTTTTCCATTGAATATTTATATCTCAATAATCTATTCAAGGCTGCCTGCCTACAGAATTTATGCATGCTCTTTGGAGTCAGACATCCTGGCGTCAAACACTGATGCTCTCACTTATTTTGTGATTTGGGGCAAGTTATTAATCTAAGCTTCTGTTTTTGTTTTTGAAAAAAGAGGGGAAAGATCATATTCATGTCATGGTCAGAGGCTGGTTGTCCAGATAAATGATAAAATATCTATGACGTTTAGTACTGTTGAGAAAAAAACAAATGTTCAACATTGATAGATTTCACATTCATAATAATAGATCTTTTTTTTTTACTTTTTTTCATCATATAGATTTCAACATGTACAAAATTCAACATGTACAAAACTCATCCTATTATTCACACATCTAGTTATTTATCCCTTCTTTGGTGTTTGTCAGAACAAGAACATTTTCTCAGTTATCCTGAGTGAAAATCCCCTTCTTTTTTTTCACCCCCCATTTCTGATTATTCACAAGCATTTATTTTCCCTGTGAGTTATTTCTATATCTATCTCTTCCAGCTTATGTAATTCTTATTGCCAGAATATTAACATTCATTCTATAACTGCTTTAGACTTATTCAGAGTCCAGGCCGAATTCCCATTCTAAAAATATTCTAGCCCTCAATGTCAGTTGTTTTCCTGTTTTCTTATCTAGCAATAATACATAGCTTTCTTTCCCCCTCCATTAGATTATAAGCATGTTTATAGTGAGTTTAGTGGCTTATGTTTATTCTGTCATGTCTTGTAATGCTTAGATAATTTTGTGTCTGGAGTAGACACTATGAATCAGTCTCAATTCATTTGCCAGTATGCTACTCCTAAATTGCTAATTTATTGAAGAATGCTTATTTTTATTGATCAAGGAATACAAAGAGGAAGAAACTTTGAACAAAAGTAATTAAGGGATAAAAGAGCACTAAAGTGTAAGGTTGTATGTTAAAAATTTGTCCAACAGTATTTAAGACAGCTTTCTGGATCCATACTAGTCTTGACGTCTTTTAGATAGATATTTGTGAAGCAGGAATTCATTTTCACTTTTGCATTTACTTTTATTTTTATCTTTTGTTAAATAATTATAACTGTTTCCTTGATGTGGCAGATTTTGTGTCTGAGATTTAACTTCCCATAGTTGGAGCAAAATGAAGCAGGGTATGGGTCAGCCTCCTTACCACAGCTGTGCAAAGCTTCCTTTAGCACAAGATCTTATCAGAGTTTCTAATGAAACATTTAGTAGAATACGTGTTATTTAGCAACAGATCCCTCATGGTTAGGATCTCGGGATGTATAGCTGGAGGAACAAGGGTTCTTTATTCTGCCTTGATAAAAATGGACTGCAAGAGCTGTCTTTTATATTTGCTCTTAATGGGGCCATTAAGTACACTGTGTATTGTGAATTCATGTAATACTACTGGATATATTATAAAACTATAGTATTTATAGCTTTTCCTGAGGCAAAGGGTTTCTTTTTACTTACAGTAACCATCTCTAAAATTGATCCATTTATTCTTTCTATCTCTCTGTTTTCTTTCCTTTCTTTTTTTTTTTTAAATAAGAGTGTATTACTTTCTTTTTTAAAAAAATTATTTATTTATGCATACAAGAGCTGGGGTATAGGCCAGAGATGCAGGGGGTGAGAGGATTCACCAGAGACAAAGTGGGGAGCAGAACAGGCAGACTGACTGAAATACACTACTGAGGGGAGCAGCGGGCGAGACAGGAGAGGTCTTCGCCATGAGGGTTTCTTCCTGGCCAGGGATCGAACTCGTGCTGCAGAGGCTTCGGATTGCTTCCTAATGTGGTGCTTAACCCTTGCACCACCAGGAAGGCCCTGTTTTCTTTCCTTTCTGTCTCTTCTTTTTTTTACTATGTTGTTCTTTCCTCTTTTTGCTCTCTCTTTTTTTTTTTTTTCTCTCCCTTGTTCCTACTCACTTCCTTTTTTCCATCACTGATTTAGGTAATGGCATCCAATCTTTTAAAAAATATATGCTGTCTTAGAAGAATGAAATTCAAGAAGTCAAGATTTGGGTTATCTAAATATTCAAAAAAAGTAGAAAAATCATGTCATTCTTGATAATGCCTATTGTTGTCAAGAATTCATTCTTTTAATGAACTGATTAAGTCATTATGACCTTTCTTGAAAAAAAAGAAAATTATGAAGTTGAATCTTGTAAGACTTCATCGAGGCCCCTTTTCAACATTGAGCTTTTTAAAATTTGCTTTTATGTAGGTATGCCTCAGTGAAATGAGGGCACACATAAGAACATGTCAGAAGTATCTAGACAAATACGGACCACTACAAGAACTTGGAGAATCAGCAACAAGGTTTGTTTCAATAGAATATAGTTTAATGATATATCTACAAGGAATTTAATGGACTGGAAATAGTAACGTTTTTGTTGTGATAAAATCTATATAGTTATGTTTAGGTTCTTAACCATATAACTTACATTGGTAACTGTTAATAACAACAATGTTATTGTTGCTCTCTCTGTTTTAAAAACTGCAAAGGGGAACCAACTGAAAGCTAGAGATTTGGGAAAACTCTCAGACAAGTTTGTAGTAAGGAAGATCCATAAAACAGAGTGAAGCACTGTTTAATTTTTGCTAGGCTATTTCTGATATGGATTCCTAAAGTAGATCATGGTTAGGAGGTTATGCATCGCCACAACTCAGTTCCCCAGCACATTAATTTGATTTTATTGGTTTCTCTTTAGAATTTAGTAAGCAACATATAGTTATATAGTCTAACAAGGAAGAAAAGACCTGGGACAAACATTCTAATTTGTATATCTTTTTGGTGGGTAATCTCATATTAGCTGGAGGAAGGATGGAGGTGGCTAAGTAGCTGTGATGAAAGATAGCAATCATTAAAAAAAAAGAAAAGAAACAAATCTGGGTCATTACTATTCTGATGGCCAAAGTAATTAAAAAGTTTGGGGTCTCTCTAGTAAAGAAATAAGGATATCAGTTCTATTTTCCTGCATAGACTGATGGCTTTGGAGGAATTAAATCTCTTTAAAACAGACTTAGTTCTTCAATAGTGGTATTCAATACAAGTGTGATTTCTCTTTCTTAAATGAAATGTTCTGTTTATTTTTAGGAAAACACAGTCAAAATGTAGCTTATATGTTCTAATCTGAAAGCCTTAATGATTGCCTCTTTCTTTTTGTTTTACTAGAAGTTGCTTTGTAAACATAGATGTTACTATAAAATTAGCTTTACACTATAACAAATTTTAAATGAGAATTTAGTTCTAAGCTGAGTAGATTGAGTATATGAGTATAGATTTACCTCAAGGACTATTAGGAAGGTAAGATAACAAATAGATTAAGAAAGTGTATGGGTTTGATTGCAAACTTGATAGATTCTATGAAAACTTAAAAATATATGAAAGCTAATTTAAATTTTGATTTCTTCTGTAGTTAGAATTAAATAATAAGAATTAAAATAACAGAATGAGAAGGGTTGTTGATTAATCGATATTATAGGCTAGATTAATATTTACATTTATTTAAGATGGAAATCTTGCTTTGTAGAAGAACTTACTATAGAATTCAAATTCTCATATAGGGAGCTTTTCTGGGGAAAAGCTTTTCCTATTCTGGGGAATAGGAAACTTTATCTATTATGGAAAGTGAGCAGAATATCCCAACCCTATAAATTGTCCCTGAGAATTTAAGGTAGTATTAACCAATAAAAATATAATACAGAACAATATGTAATTAAAAAAATTCTCATAGCCACATACACAAAAGAAACAAGTAAAACTGAGTTATTTTATTTAACCATATAAAAATTAAGATATTTTGCTTTTTTAACATTTAAGCCTTCTAAATTCCACATGTATTTTACACTTCCAGCGTATCTGAACTTGGACTCGGTACATTTCCAGGGCCATTAGACAGCTTCAGTTTTGGACAGCGCAATGTAGGGGAAAGGTACTGGTCTAACAGTATTGGTCTAACAGCTACAGTATTGGACAGCACAAATGTGAGGGGAAGGTACTCCGTTTATACAGTAGTTATATATGCTAATTGAGATGAAGAACAGGTAACACTCAATTCAAACGTTACCTGAATTTAGAAACTAAGGAAGACAAAGGGACAGAAAGAGTAACCAAGGATGGCTGGGTAGTGTGATCCTCAGTTTTTTAGCAAATGGTTACTTAAAGTGCACTCTCCTTCAAAGAGAATAAAATATTTCAAATATATTTTCATTGTTTCTCTACATTTACATTTATTGTGGAGGAAAAAAATTAGGTGGGAAGATCACTACCAGGATAGGAAAAACAAGAAATTAGGAAGAACTAGAAACCAGATTCACCTACATTCTATTTTTTACTTGTAGTAAATACTGACAATTTTAGTACTATTAATATTCTATATAATTTGCAGGTGCCTCTGTCCATTTTGTCAGAGAGAATTGGATGAAGACAGCTTGCTGGACCATTGTATTACTCATCACAGATCAGAAAGAAGACCAGTGGTAAGGGTTTTTGTTATATATTCCTGCACTGTCTTAATTGAACATACAGTATAAAATCCATTCAATAGGCTTCTATTTGTATATATATTATAATGGATGATTTATGTCAAGATTATGATAATTCTATAGCTATTAACAAGATGTGAAAGTGTTGAGATAAAACTGGTAATGTGCAATCACTCTTCCAAAATTACACGACATTATCTCTCTTCTCGTGTATTTATTTATTTATTTATTTTTAAAGATTTATTTATTTATGCATACAAGAGCTGGGCCAGAGATGTGGGGGCGGAGAGAGGATTCACCAGAGACAGAGTGGGGAACAGAACAGGCAGACTGAGTGAAATACACTGCTGAGGGGAGCAATGGGCGAGTCACGAGAGGTCTGCTGCACCATGTGGGTTTCTCCCTGGCCAGTGATCGAACTCGTGCTGCAGTGGCTGCGGATTGCTTCATAGTATGGTGCTTAACCCCTTGCGCCACCAGGGAGCCCTCTCTCTCTTTATTTTAAAGATTTATTTTATTTTATTTATTTTTTTTAAGGATTTTTTTTTTTTAAAGATTTGTTTATTTATTTATACAAGCACTGGGTACAGTCAGAAGCGCAGGAGGGTGAGAGAATTCACCAGAGCCAGAGTGGAGAGCAGAACAGGCAGACTGACAAAGTACACTGCTGAGGGGAGCAGCGGGCAGCAGGAGAGGTCTGCACGCCATGTGGTACACTCGCCTGGTGGCTGGGGATCTAACCGGCGCTGCAGAGGCTGCGGGCAGCTTTCCAACCCATCTCTCAATTGCTGTGCCACTGGGGAGGCCCTATTTTATTTTTTTATGCATACAAGAAGTGGAATCTGGGCCAGAGGTGCGGGGAGGGGGGTTATGTGTGTGTGAGGATTCACCAGAGACAGAGTGGGAAACAGAACAGGCAGATCTACTAAATTACACTGCTGAGGGGAGCACCGGGCAAGACAGGAGAGGTCTGCTGTGCCATGTGGGTTAGTTCCCTACCCAGGGATTGAGCTCATGCTGCAGTGGCTGTAGATAGCTTCATAGTGCTGATACTTAACCCCTTATGACACCAGGGAGGCCCCTATACATTATCTCTTACAGATAGATAATCATGTGCATAATCCACTAATAAGATGCAAAAATCACAGTTAAGGTCTATCTTTTACTAACCATGGTCACATCTTAAGTTTAAAATATTTTTTAATAACACAAATGGGGGCCTCCCTGGTGGCGCAGGCGGTTGAGCGCCACACTGTGAAGCTGTCCGCAGCCTCTGCAGTGCGGATTCGATCCCGGCCTGCTGGCGAGAATCCCATATGGTGAAGCAGACCACTCCTGTCTCACCTGCTGCTCCCCTCAGCAGTGTATTTCCTCAGTCTGCCTGTTCTGTTCCCTGCTCTGCCTCTAGTGAAACCTCTCACCCTCCCGTGCATCTGGCCTGTACCCCAATTCTTGTATAAAAATAAATAAAATCTAAAAAAAATGCAAATAGGGTTACCATGACAATACACTAAAAAATGAAAAGCAAAAATTCCTTTTTATTAATTAATCCATATCATAGTCTGAATAACCATGTGTTTGCGTATTATATATATGTACTGCTCATCATTTCCTAGAGCCTTGTGAATGCTGCCTTTTTCTTTTCAATGTGGCATTTTAGTTCTATTTTGCATTGTGACTTTTATAATTTTCATCTTTTGTGAAATTATGAGATAGAGTGGTAATTTCACCAGGAGACCAGGATGTTATCATAACCTTGAGGTAGGAGTTGATGGTTCAGAAAATTCATAGTTCTATAGCATATGAGGGGCTTCTAGCTGTGGTCCAGGAACAAAAGACCTTCATGTCACCTATCTGAATGCTTTGTGCTTAAGTAGAAGCTCAAAATACATCACTTTGTACTTTTTACTTAGTTGTTTTACTGTCTTTGAATACTTGGATTGTTGCCAACTTTTAGGATTGGAGTTCATCTTCCTGCACATTTATAATTTTCCTTCTATTGGACTTTTTCCTAAAGGGCAATTCCTCATAATGATATTTGTGGAAACAAAAATGCAAACATTTTAATAACTCTTGAAGTACACTTCTAAAATGCTTTCCAACAAGTTAGAGTCCATTTATTTTTGCATCAGTAATTTATGAATATATCACTTTCACCTTAACTGGACCAAGATTTGTGTCCCTTGTAATAGACATTCCAAGGATTGAATGTCATGGTAGCTTCTAATATGGTGGCATCTTTAACCCATTGCCTTCATCATCACAGAAGTCCATACTGGGATGATAGTAATGTGTTGTGAATCTGCACCACAAAATTTTTGGTTCCTGATATGTGTAGTGTGGTCTGGGAGCATTGACTAGAGACAAATAATAAAGGACTAGCCAATGTTTGGAAATTGGCAATGTTAGGGAGAGTATAGGTGACCACTGATGCACTTAGGTAATGATCAGTCAGTGTTTCATTTATCATTTCTTTCCCCTTATTATTCTTACCCTCTCCTCCTTTGGGTAAAGTTTCCAAATTAAAGAAATAAGAAATTTTTGTAGTATTATTGACTTTCAACCATTATTTTTTGCGATATCCTAGTGGCTATTTAGTCACATGACTAAATTTTATGTACAAGTATAAAGCTTTTACTAGTTCCCTAATTGTGTCAGAATGAAAACAGAAATTTCTAAGGAACTAATGTCCTCCATTAGTTCCTTAATTGTCGGGCCAGGGCTTAGTCATCTCTGTACCTCTGGTTCTTGGCATGGGGCCAATAGAAAACATGTTAGGTGCTCAAATAAAAAGCTGTTGATCAGAACTGGTCCCAATTTATCCCTCTAAACTCATCCTCCACCACTTCCCCCAACTTCCTCTATCTTTGGTTTCATTGAGATTTTTTCATTGCCTAAGCAGACTTGTCCTTTTATTGTTTCCTGCCTTTCACTATGTTGATTCTTCTGCCATGATCCTGCCCCTCACCTGGCTGGCTGATACTACAATACTTACTTCTACTACCAACTCAGATGAAGTCTTTCCTAATTTCCTGAACAGAATTAATGATTTCTTTTTCATATCTTGAGTTGTCATCTGTTTATATCTTGAATATGTAGTACCTGACATCCAGTATTAAAAGTATTTGCTTAAATCATAAAAATAGCAATTATTTAGTATTTGTATCAAGAATTGAGTTAATCAAGAATTGAGTTAATTGCACCTCCTTGGTGGTGCAAGGGTTAAGATGCAAACTATGAAGCTATCCGCAACTTCTGCAGCACAGAGTTTGATCCCCAGCCAGCCAGGGAGCAGTCCACATGGTGCAGCAGACCTCTCCTTACTTGCCCGCTGCTCCCCTCAGCAGTGTACTTCAGTCAATCTGCCTGTTCTGTTCCCCACTCTCTCTCTGGTGAATCTTCTCACTGCCCCCCCCACCCCCCGCCCGCACCTCTGGCCTGTATCCCAGCTCTTGTATGCATAAATAAATAAATCTTTTTTAAAAAGTTGTTTAAAAATTTTAAAAAATAAATATAAGGACATAATTTAAATTGATATTGCTATAGTCATTTAAGATTTTCTAGTGATCTTGGTTAACTGGTAACAACTGGCTATCCCAAGGTAGCACTTAAACTACCCCCCGAAGCTCCTTTGTAGTAATGAGAACAGAGTTAAGTCCAAGAAATATTTAAACACAAAAGCAACATTAATTTTTTTTGGTGTGGGAGAAAGGACACTAATTACACAAATTTGTCCATCCAACATTGTTTGTTGTGCTTCTACTATGTGCTAGGTATTTGGAATATGGAAACCAGTAAGAAAGGTTTGTGTTACATTGGCTTTGGATTCAGTGTGTCTGGGCTTCAACTCCTAGTACTAGCTCTTACTGGCTATTTGACCTTAGGCACATTCATTTTCTCTTTTGTAAAATGGAAATCAGCACCTACCTTGTAGAGTAGTTACATGGTCAGAGGGAATGTGATTAATGTGCTGCGTACATAATTGGCATATGATAAATACCACATATTTCCCATTATTTGATCCCTGTCTTTAAATAGTTGGGGTTCCCAGAGGGAAGATAATGCATGCCTTATTCATTCCTGCTGAGGGGAGCAGCGGGTGAGTCAGGAGAGGTCTACTGGGCCATGTGAGTTGCTCCCTGGCCACCTGGGGATCGAACTTGTGCTGCAGAGGCTGCGTAACCCCTTGCACCACCAGGGAGACCCTAAATTATGTCATTTTATTAAAACTAAGACAAAGATTAATCAACTAGGGCAAAAATCAGAAATCGACCTTATTTACAGAAATTGAGCATATTGAAACTCGGACCCTCATAAAACAATTTAAAAAAGAAAAGACTTATATAAAGTCTGCATTCAAACTTAAAGAAAAACACTGTGATCCACGATGAAAATTAGACTATTATAACCTGAAAACAAAAATTGGATTATCTATTATAGGGCTAAGTTGCTATTATGATTCTTATAGTAGTGCTAATTCAAGCTAATTTTTTTCCTCTCTGAAACTGGGTTCATCAATTAAGTAAGGGTAACAATTAATTCACTGGGTAGTTTTGATGAAAAAATAAGAACACCACTTAATTTAATGCCCAGTAATAATTCTGTATCTTTTTTTAAAATGAATGCATGAAAAGTAGAATTAAAAAAACACAGATTAGGGCTTCCCCGGCGGCGCAGCGGTTGAGCGCTGGGTTGCGAAGCTGCCCGCGGCCTCTGCCGCACCGGTTCGATCCCCGGCTGCTCCACCGGAGGAGGGTCCCACATGGCATGCAGACCTCTCCTGCCGCCCGCTGCTCCCCTCAGCAGTGTACTTCGGTCCTTCTGCCTGCTCTGCTCCCCGCTCTGGCTCTGGTGAATTCTCTCACCCTCCCGCGCTTCTGACTGTACCCAGTGCATGTATAAACAAACAAACAAATAAATAAATAAAAAACATGCCTCTATTAAAAAAAAAAAAAAAAACACAGATTAAAATATAATAGAGTGATGTTAACAGAGTCTTTTATATTAGCCATTAAGGAGGTGCAAGTTAAATCATGATGAGATACCACTATACACCTATAAAAATGATTAAAATTTTAAAAATTGACACTACCAAATACTGATGAGAATAAGGAAAAGCTAGATAATTCACATTGCTAGTGGGAATGTAAAATGTTAAAACTACTCCTGAAGATATTTGAGGGTTTTTTTTTGTAAAGTTAACCCTAATACCTTCCCACACAATCGCAGTCCTGTTTATACAAACATCTTTACACAAATGTTCATTGCAGTCTTTTTTTTTTAATTAGTTTTTTAAAAAAAATATTGTATTTATTTTTGTGGAGGGGAACTGGAGTGTAGGGGAACAAGGAGAGTCAGGAGAGATCTGCTGCGCCATAGGTAGGTTAGGTCCCTGGCCAGGGATAGTGCTCAGGCTGCTGTGTGAGGACCTTTTTGGGATAGTACTGAGACTTAACCCTTAGGCCACTAGGGAGGCTCTGCAGTTTATTGTAATAACAAATGTCCTTCAGAAGGTAAATGGATAAACAAATTGTGGTACATTGATGTCATGGAATACTACTCAGCAATAAAAAGGAAGAAACTATTGACGCACACAACTTGGATGAATTTCAAGGTTAATAGGCTTAGTGAAGAAAAAATACTCAAAAGATTTTATTTATATAATATTATATGACATTCTCAAAATGATGCAATTACAGAAGTGAGGAACATATCAGTGAATGCCAAGGTAAGGAAAGAAGAAAAAGAGGTAGCATAAGGGGGTTCCTTAGTAATGACAAATAGCTCTGTATCTTGATTGTGTTGGTAGTTACATGAACCTATATGTGATAAAATTTCATAGAAATACACATACACAATTATCACATGCAAAAGCTGACAAAATCTAACTAAGATCTATTGACTACTTAATTGCCAATTTCCTAGTTTCAATAATGAATTATTTATTTATCTAAGATGTTACAATTTGGGACAGCTGGGTGATGGGACTTCTCCTTTATATTTGCAATTCTTCTGAGTTTAAATATTTCAAAATAAAGAAAAATTTAAGTCATTACTGACTTTTAAACTAGGAAAATAGGGCCTCCCTGGTGGCACAAGGGGTTAAGATGCAACCTATGAAGCTATCCACAGCCTTTGCAGCATGAGTTCGACCCCCCACCAGGGAGCTACCCACATGGTGCAGCAGACCTCTCCTGTCTCACCTGCTGCTCCCTTAGTGGTGTATTTCAGTCAATCTCCCTGCTCTGTTCCCCACTCTGTCTCTGGTGACTCCTCTCACCACTGTACCTCTGGCCTTCACCCCAGCTCTTGTATGCATAAATAAATAAATCTATAAAAAATTTATTTATTAAAACAATAAACTAGGAAAATACTTGTAAGTACTAATAACTGATGCTGGTGTGTTATCTATGTTGCTGGGCAATAAAAAGAAAACTATTGACCAATCAATGTAATGAACTGTTCATAGCTTCTGATCTTTTAATCTTTCATTTTTGGTCATTTGTCCTGAGAAAATAATCCCTCAGAAGGTAAACAGTATAGATAATGTCATTTGTATGACAAAATATTCATAAACCAAAAAAAATTTTAAAACATATGCTGCAATATGATCAATAGATTCATTAAGTTAAATTTCACTTTGTTGAATTGTTATTTAGTTTTTAATTTCTGACACTAATAATTATTTTAAATTCTTTTTGAACTCTTGGTCTTGTTTATTTCTAGTTCTGCCCACTTTGCCGCTTAATACCTAATGAGAATTCTAGCAACTTCAATGGCAGTTTAATAAGACATTTGCAAGTCAGTCACACTTTGTTTTATGATGACTTCATTGTAAGTATATTGTCTTACTTTTATATTGTGTTTTTACATTGTGTGTTAGACTTAACTTTTTTAACCCAAGTGAGTAAAATTATAGAAGAAAAAAATGCTTCTGCGATCAAAGTAGTTTTTAGTTGTCTAATTAAAATGTCTCTAAATAAAAAGATTTAAAAATGTGCATAGTTGAAGTAGTAGCATCAAGTAAGAAATTGTAAAAATAAAGTATTTTATAAATTTGACTTAATTCTACAGCAGTTAGCTTAGAGAAAATTATTTTCTTTATGATATAGACAATTAGACATTAAGTAGAGATCCAAATTTCACTTTCAGATTATTTTAATTTCTAGTCTAGTTTCTGCCTGTATAGATAGTGGTAAATATTATGAAGTTGAAAACTTGTATAGCAGAAATGAAATCATATCAGTAATGAACTGACTCAGAAAGTTTGTTCCAGAACACATTGAATGACTATTAACAGATATGACATTATCAGTGTGTAAGGTACATGGACCTTATTTTTAGTTTAAATTCTATAAAACCCAAATTCATTTTTATTACATGTCTAAGCATAAAATATATTATGAAACAATTTTAAATACATAAAAAATAGACAGAATAACTTAATGAACCCCTATATAATCTACCCATTAATAACTACCAATTGATGGCCAGTTTCATTATATTAAAGATTTTTCTTTCAGTTTTAGTGAGACTTAATCAGCATATAGCACATAATGACTTGACTTATATATCCACTGTAAAATGATTACCAAAATAAGTTTACTTAATAGCTATAATGTTGTATCGATACAACAAAATGTTTGGGAGAACTTTTTCCTTGTCATGAGAACATTTAGGATCTACTATTTTAGCTACTTTCAAATATACCATAGAGCAGTATAACTATCATCACTATGTTATAGATTACATTCCCAGTACTTATTTATCTTATAACTGGAAGTCTATACCATCATACAGTTTCCTCTCTTCCCACCCAAGAACTTTTTTTTAGTAAGGAAGAAAAGTTAAATATAGTATGAATGTATATCCCACGATCAGAAATGAGAATAAGCTACAATTTTCACATGATTTTGACTATTTTCTTTTTACGCAATTTCAAGATAGAATTCAATAATTGTTGAAGATTGTTATTTGAAAATTTTTCCAGTGCTCTCTGATCTGCCTATTATGATTATTCAGTTCAACATGAAGAGCTGAGGTTCCAACCTCAGTTTAAATAACATTTCTGTCACAGCTTTGTGACCTTTGGCCAGGTATTTTACCTGGTACTCTGTATTTCTCTGTTCAGTGAGGACAGTAAAGGAGGCTACTCTCAAAAGCTCTTATGGATTAAGTTAAATGAATGCAGTTTGGGCAAGCATGTTAGGCTAGAGTGTAAATGGGACTATAAGGACCACCTGAGGAAGTGAACAAACTACAAAGTCTTCATATTCTCTGCACTATCTTTCAAATAATATCTTTTCTGGCCCTACAACACAGAGGGCCTAAACAGAGATGGCTTCTGGATTATGTGTTCTCATCTTTCACAATACATAGGTTCCTCTTTATCTTAGCTCCATGAGATATGCTAAAGGCCTACTTGATCTATTCTGACTATTCACATTCAGTCCATTCTTCTCAGGATCTTTCAAAGTATAATCTTGTTCAGTAGGAATTACTCTGATGAGAATGTTCTCCACCCACTCAAAACCATATTCTTTGATTTGAAAGTGAAGTTGAATCAGTTTTCTTTGCTTTGATTTTTTGTTTCCTAAGTTACCAAGACCTATGCTAGGCACTTATATAAATTATCTCATTCTATTCCTTGCGACAATTTCTGCATTATTATCTTAACTTAACTATGAAATAGCTGAAGCTCAAAGGTTAATAAATTGCCCAATGACTGAGTCCAAAATCTGTGCTCTACTGTACTTAAAGGCTTTCTTTTGGATTTTATTTATTCGTTATTATGGTTCTTTTAAAAAATATTTATTTATTTATTTTTGTAAAACTGGGGTGTAGGTCAGGGTGCAGGAATGAGAAGATTCACCAGAGACAGAGTGGAGAGCAGAACAGGTGCATTTACTGAACTACACTGCTAAGGGGAGCAGTAGGCCAAAGCAGGAGAGTTCTGTTGTGCCATGTGGGTTAGCTCAGGCTGTGGTAGTAATAGCACTGAGACTTATGCCCCAGGCGACTAGATAGGTCCCCTGTTATTATGTCTAGAAGAGGACTTCCAATAGAGATTTTTCCTTTTTTTTTTTTTTTTTTTTTTGGTATATTGGGTAAGAGTAGATGGGTTGTAGAGAATACAATTCTTAATAATTTTGCTTTAATTACAAAATGTGCTGACTTAAGGTTTTGATTTCCATTTTTGACAATAAGGAGGCAATGAGAGAGTTTTATTTTCAACAAATTATTTTGAAGAAATATTCAGTAGTATGTTGGGATTAGTGAATCCTATGGGAATGCCTTAATTTTGCTCTAAATTAAATGCTTACGTGAAACTTAGCACTCTGACCAGGACTTGTAATGTTGACTAAAACCTGTAAGTTGGATCATATAAAAATTTTAAATTCCAAGTCAATATTCCTTTAGGAAAACAAAAATTAGTTCATTGACTGGCAGTAAAATTAAATAGAAAATGCACTAACCTCAAAGCAAAAGTACTAGATTCTATGGCAGTTTTTATGGAAACCTTGACACATCACTAAATTCAGGTATTAATGTTCTTGAAAAATTAGGGCATTGAATTGTCCCTCAGCTCCCAGAATCTGAAAGCTATTGTCTCTTGTTGTATGTTTCTAATTACTGTTTTTTATTGTAGGATTTTAATATAATTGAGGAAGCTCTTATCCGAAGGGTCTTAGACCGGTCACTTCTGGAATATGTGAATCACTCAAATGCCACATAATTTTATTAAAAGGGAAGGAGACCCTACAATTGCACCATTTATTAAGATGCTGCTTGAACAATTGGAGGGTAATTGTCAGTGTTCTATGGGCAAAGACATACAATATAGTCATGTTTGTCCGTGTTTATTGTTATACTGCATTTTAAAACTGCTGTTATTTTTCTGGCTTAAATCTGTATTACCTTTTTTAGTTTCTTAACAAAAATAGTTTGCATCAGCCACTAATGTATGAAGGAGAATATAAGTAGGATATGATGGTTAAGGATCTTTATTTACAAAGTGGATGGTGTTGTATGTAATGCTACATATTAATAACTCCCATCATAGTTGGGCAAGACAACTAATCTTTGTTCTATGTAAAAAGATGGAGAGTGAAGTAAGATGTGACCATTCAAGGAAATAGGAAACCCATCTGAACACTGATAGGATAACATCTAATAGGATAACATGGAATAATCTTGTATGAAAGTAGGAAATTATAAATTTGGGATGTCAACAAACTTTATTTAACCAAATTGTATAGCATAATACTGTAACAAAATAAGTTTCATCTTAGGAATGTTTACTTCATTCTTTGACTTTTGATAACTATGCACAATAAGAATTTAATATTGTATTTTTCAAATATTTGTAGCTATTATTTAGAAACATTTCTATAGCAATAGGTAATTTCTTAAGAGCCATGAGCTGATAATTACAGTATAAGTATTCACATCCATAATTTTTAGTAGAAAACCCTAAGGACTTAGAATTTTTTTTATGCTTTAGAAAAATGATAAGACATATATTGAAAACCAAACAGAAAATGTACATTATTATAAGGCAACACTCTTGTAGAACTCTGCCAGCCACCATGGCTATCCTCTGTATGTCCTGTCATCATTAACAACCCTGTTCCCCAACCTCACAAAAGTTAACCACTACACTGATTTTAGCAGTAAAAATGTCCTTGCATTTCTTTCTTATTGTTTAAGTGTGTGTCTCTACCTACTATAACTTTATCCATTAAAAATTGTTTCAGTAGATTTTTTTTTTTTACTTCTCTTCAATGTACAGGTTCTTATTTCTTTTTCTCAAAGTTTACCTGTTGAAGAACCTGGTGTTACCACCTATAGAGTTTCCACCAGTCTTGATTTTGCTGATTGCGTACAGATGGCACAATTTAGCATGCACCTCTGTCCTCTGGATATTGACACATAGATCCAGGTGGTTGAGAAAACAGGTTCAATTCTTTTCACAAAACTGTATGTCAGTGTTCTTTTTTTCAGAGGGCACGTAGATTCTAATTCCCTCTTTGATATAGAGTGAAAATGACAATACCTACAATAGATGCATTGATTTATTGTGGGTTGGAGGATATTCTAATTCTCTCATTTGTTTTTCATTTGTGTATTGAAACATTTTAATAAAGAGATGTTTCTACTATTTGGTTAACCAGTTTTAAAGTCTATAAAGGAACAGGAAAATAAATATTTATTGTTAATAATAAAATAAATATTGTTACTTTTACCACTTTTCAAGTTTTCCCTGTTATCTTCTAGTGATATTTTTTTAAATATTGTGAACTCATGGATTTGCACATATTTGATAGACTTTATTTCAAATGTTACCATTTTAAAGCTCCATTTGTCACATCTTTGAGCACTGGGAGCCTCAACAAGTTGGCTCTGATTCTTTTTCACACTATTCTAGCAGTGTTTAATAATTTCCTTGCTCTTTTTTATGACAGTACATTCCTGGCTCTACTTGTATGTTGCCTGGACCTGGAATCAGACCTATCTCTAAGAAGCCTGGTTATGTTTAGTGAGAAATGATATTTCAAAACCATAATTAGGACTCTCAGGATACTCAGTACTACTAGATGAGTCTTTTTTTTTTTTTTATTAGAGAGCTAGGAAATATCAATTTTCAAAGAAGAAACATTTGATGAATTTATTTTGATACTTCCAAATCAAATAGAGTACTACTGGGTTTTTACCTAATCCTTTCTATCACAACCATTTCTACATTTCTTTTTACTGAGAATCCTGGTTTTCAAGGACACAGGACATGAAATAATTAGAATATTTCACTTTTCATTTCATTGCACATACAACAGTCTCAGAAGAACAATGCTAACATAACCACCACCAATATAACTGAAACAAATATTTTTTCATTAGCTCTCCATATACTTCCGCTATTTTTTGAGTTCACACTATCCTAAGATTTTCAGAATATATTGGTATATTATACTATACTTTCTTCCTTCTACCCCCCATTTTATCTTAGTTCTTTAACTATATAGTCAGTACTTGCCATGAGTCATTATTTGATGGCTCTATTTTTCTTATTTTGCTCTTTGATGGCAAATCGAGCATATAGAATGTTCCCATCTTGAAAGCAAACAAAAAAGCTATGAAGACTAGTGATAATCAACTTTAAGGATAAAATGTTATTTGGCTATAGTTAGCTTTCTAATTATATTCATTTATAAACTTTTTTGTTCCTTACTCAAAAATGTAGTTATAATCATGATGCCCCAAATTTTCTATAACAAACTATCCATTCCTTCTTAAAAGTCTTGCACACTATAGTACCCCATCCACTATAAGGTAATTAAAAAGACATAAAGCCAGATAAAATCTAAAAAACCTTATTTTCTCCCTTTTAGATACTAGTTTAAAGCTTGCTTTTCATAGCTGCTAATGTATAACAATAGATTTTTAGTTTCACAACCTCTCTTCCTCCAATTTGGATTAAGTCAGCCAATAAAGTAAAACCTGTTGGACAAGTGTAAAGAGAGATTTTCAGAGGTAATCCGTCAAGCTGAAAAAATAGCTTCTGAAATATAGAATATATTTATCAGTGTGAAAACTGACTATCCAGAAGATAAACCTTTAATTCTGAAGAATATACGAAGCATCTTTAAATCTGTAAAACTTGAAAAAAATTCAAATCTTTAAAAACTATATTTTATGTAAAGCTTTAAATCATCTAGCATTATTAACCTTAGTACATCTGTTTTGTATCCTGTCCCTGGATTCCCCTTTCTGATAATGTTTCCACCTATAGGACAAATTAGGTGCTGGCCACCTGAATTACTTTTACCTTCTGAATTATTTTGAGTTCTAAAATAGTGAAGTACAAATAGCCATTATTCCACTGTGCCTTTAACCTTTTATATAAAGGAATTTATAGTTCATTGTTTAAAAAAACAAGAATACCAATATTTGAAGCTGTTGACTACTAGCAAAAAAGTTTTACTCTATAGCTCCTCTTAAGTACAACTTTTTAAAGACCCTTTAAAGAAAAAACTGATTTCAAAGCTAAATTATTCTAATTCTGTGAAAACCTGTGGAGATTTTCCTTTTATATTTGTTTTCACTCAAGTTTCTAAAACACAGGTTGAAAAATTGGATTGTAAATCTCTGGAAAAGATAGTTCCAAATTGGATCTCCTAAGAGACCCTGTCCAGTAATGTTGTATTATTTCTGTTACTGGGTGCTAAGTCTCTTTCATTTTGAAGTGAGCTTTCTCCAGTTATTGAATTGTCTACCATGATTTCTATCTTCAAACACTGAAGTTATTTTGAAAAGTTACTGAAATTCATTCTTTTAGTATTCATTCTTTTATTATTCTTATTATGCAACAAAACATCTGTGTAATGGTCAGAATTTAAAATGTACAATTCTTTTTCTTCTGTAAATATGTTTTATTGTGAGAAATAAAGAATGGCAGGACCATTGATTTCATTAAAATATCTACTGTGTCTATTCTTTTTTTTTTTTTTTTTAAGATTTATTTATTTATTTTATACAAGAACCAGGGTACAGGCCAGATGCACGGGAGGGTGAAAGGATTCACCAGAGACACAGCGGGGAACAGAACAGGCAGACTGAAGAAATACACTGCTGAGGGGAGCAGTAGGCAAGACAGGAGAGGTCTGACCTGCCATGTGGGTCCCTTGCCGGCCGGCCAGGATCCAACCGGCGCTGCAGGCTGCGGACAGCTTCACAGCACAGCGCTCAACTGCCTGCACCACCAGGGGAGGCCCTGTGTCTATTCTTAAATATTGATCTTGATAATTTTGTACACAAATGCCTTTTAAAGTAGCCTTCATTCAACAATATCTATCACAAAAAGATACCTTCATTAAAGCCAGCAGTTCTCATTTGGGGGCAATTTTGCCACCCAGAGGACATTTGGCAAAGTCAAGAGACATTTTTGGTTGATATAACTGGGGTGTGCCATTGGCCAGTGATGCAGCTAGATGTCAGGGATGCCTCTCAACATTCTGTAGCACATAAGATGGCCACTCACAGCAAAGAATTAGTCTGTGCTGAGGTTGAGAAACCCTGATTCAGGTCAAGATACTGCTGAGCACCATCAAATTATTATTGATTCTGTTTCCAATAGATTTCACTGTTATTTAAAAGATAAGATGTAGATGAACTCTGAATAATCTACTTCTGCTAAATATTCTCTAAGTTATGGGTGGCAATAGCTGTCATGTGTACCTCAAATCAAAATATGTTAAAAAAATGAAAACTTTTTAGATTTTTCACAGAGACATGGAAAAGAATATAGATGTTTTTGATAAGCCCTCTGATTATCCTGTTTGCTGAGTGACATTCTAAAAGACAGGTAATCCAGGATAAATTGTGAAGACTCAATTTTATCACTTAGTTATCTTTATTGGAATGAATGGGCAAATAATGCAGAGGTGTTACAGGGCAGGGACAGGGGCACCCCAGACCCCACAAACTTGTCTGCTCTAAATAGATTCTGCCATCCACCACATCAACACAAAACAAATGAGACTTTAATGAAAAGGAACTTTAATACAATTAGTAAATACAGGAAAGACAAAGAATATAGTTTCTAAACAAGCTCCCAAAGTTCCCCATCTCCTTGTGGGTAAAAGTCCACCCAAATGGGATTGGCCCAGAGCAAGGCCCCAAAGTTTGCCACAAGTCTAAAGCATCTTCCAGTGGGGACCCATAGAAAAGGATCAGAAACAACCAGACAAGTCTGGGAGGAAAAGAGCAAAATCAAAATCAAGAGAAAAACCACCATTATCACCTCCCCATTGTTCTCTCACCCACATCTGTGTCATACAGTCTGCTACAGGGCAACCCCAATATAAAACAGGTTGCCTAACTATGGGTCCTTACCTGTGAGCTTAAAAGGGACTTACTAATACTCAACTGCAGGCATACATGAAAGGTTAATAAAAGGTTTATTTACAAGGGAAGGGGAAATGAGAAAATGTACAACTCAGGGAGAAAAGAGGGAGATAAAGTCTTAAATGTGCCCTACCTGTTGTGCCTACCTGGAATCCCAATGGCATGCTGAAAGCTGGCGGAGAGCCAAGAGCTGTGAAGTGGTGAGGAGAGGAGAGAAAAAGGAAGAGAGAAAGGGAGGGGGAGGGAGGGAGAGGAGAGAGAGAGAGAGAGAGAGAGAGAGACCCAAGGCCCACGTCTGATTTTATACCAAACCTGGCAGCTTAACTCCATCCTCAAGTCCCAGCAACCCTCCCTTTGGTGATAATGGGATTTGTCATTTCCAGTGTGTGGATGGCTTTGGTCTGGAGTGGGGGTGGAACCCACAAAGCCTGTATGAAATTTGCTCAGGACATCCTTTCTCCCTAATAAGTCCACAACCCTTTTTCTGTGGGTCCCCACTGGAAGATGCTTTAGACTTATGGCAGGCTTTGGGGCCTTGCTCTGGGCCAATCCTGCTTGGGTGGACTTTTGCCCACAAGGGAATGGGTAACTTTGGGTACTTGGTTTAGAAACTATATTCTTTGCCTTTCCTGTATTGTTTCCTAATTGCATTAAAGTTCCTTTTCATTAAAGTCTCCTATGTTTTGTGTTGATGCTGCGGATGGCAGAACCTATTTAGAGCAGGCAGGTTTGTGGGGTCTGGGGTGCCCCTCTCCCTGTCCTGTAACAAAACCAAAGTTACAGTGGTCACTGTACCTTTCAAGCTTTCTACTCCTGCTTGAAGAGCACTTTCCCCAGAATTTGACATGACTGCCTTCTAATCATTCAACTCTCACCTCAAATGTCATCTTTTCTTAAAGGATATTCCTCATAATTCTGATGGAGGATAAGAATAAAAAACTGGAAAGGAGATACAAGGTCAAGAACCTAACTCACACAAGGAGGGTAGGAGTAGAAGGGATTTAGTGTAAGCCATTAACTCAGTTATAGAAACCAAGATCTTTGGGCATGAACACCCAGATCAGAAGGTGCAACACCCAGAAACTATTAGACTACTGTAGGGAGGGTCAGGAGCATAGACCTGAAGGTGAAGATATGGAGATTAAAGAACAAACCATCCACCCACAAAGATGAACCCCTCCCTGAAGATGATAAAACCTAACACTGCCCCCTCAGCAGAGCAGCAGTCTTTCTGCCCACCTATGACTATGCAGGTGCCTCTTTTCACTAACTCTCCCTCTGCAGGGCAGCAGCCTCCCTGCCTGCCCATGACCAGTACCATGCGGGGTCTTCTCTTCACTGACCTCCCTCAGCGGACACAGCTCTCCTCAAGGCCACCCGCCTGAAACCATGCAGGCCTCTCAGCACACCTGTGAGGGCAGCTCTTTCTGCCCACTTGTGTCCATGCAGTGTCTTTTACTCTTTAGTCCCTTTCTCTAATAAACCTGCTCTTTAAACATAACTAATGTCTCTGCCTCATGGAGCAACTTGTCTAGGAAACGCCGCGTGCTGCTGAAAGGGGAGCTCTGATGAAACCTTTCCCAGAGTGAACCCATGAACCCCACACTCCAAACCAACAGACTCCAAAATGACATCAATTCTAGCCAAAATATCTTATTTTATCTATTATTCTATTACACTTTCTTCTTAGCTGTTACTAGAATTTGAGATCATTCTTTTCACTATTATTATCTCCTCTGTCTAGAATATAAATTCATTGAGAGCTGGTATGCACATTAAACTCCCCAGCATTCTTGCATCTCAAAGCATCTAAAACAGTGGCACATGGTAAGTACTTAATATTCTAGTTGTCTAGTTTATTGTAATTAATGGTGATATGAAGACATGTAAAAGTAATGTTCTTATTACAAAATAATCATAGGAATGATAAAAAAAATGAGACAATTTGCTGAAAGATTGGAGCAAAGCAGAACCTCAATAGATGAAGATCTCCATAGGTAAATATCCCAGGTAGCTCAGAATGCTGTAACAAAATACCACAGACTGAATGACGTCAACTGCAGTTATTTATTTCTCACTGTTTTGGAGGGTGCCAGTCCAAACCAAGTTGTCAGTAGATCTGGTTCTTCATGAGGTTCCTCTTCCTAACTTCTTGCTGCATTTGCACATGGCAGAGAAAGCCAGCTGTTTTCTTCCTCTTCTAAGAGAACTAATCCCATCATGGGGCTGCATGCTCATGACCTTAACAAAACCTAATTACCTCCAAATGCCATCATTTAGGGATTTAGTGATTCAACAAGAATTTTGGGAAGACACAAACATTCAAGTCAAAATAACGTGTTTGTTGAATGAAAAAATTAATAGCTGACAAGTGGATCAAAATACTCATGTTAGCTCCTTAGCAGTCATTTCTCACTCACACAAGCCTCCTTTAGACAATAGGACGCTTGATTGCCCTGGGACAATACTGATGTGCTTTGAGACTCAGGAACTGATCAGTGGACCATCTTTTTAATAAGATTGGAACCTTGGGTGGGAGCTGGTTGTATACTCACCCTCCCTAAAGCCCAAATCCAGTGTTCAGTTTGACCCACTCTTTTCTGTCTATAAAAGCCAGGATCCTGCATCCAGCAGCATCCTGCATCCTAAAGCCCACTCCATGACTCCTGTTTCTTTTCTTTATCACTGTGGTATTGATGACACAACAGGGAGACACAAACATTCAAGTCATAATAATGTTTGTTGAATGAAAAAATGAATAGCTGACAAGTGGATCAGAATACTCATGTTAGCTCCTCAATAGTCATTTCTCACTAGTAAAGTCTATAAGAAGAGCACTACTATAATACAAATACAGCAGACTTTGTCTAAGTTTGCTCATAGTTCCCCCCAAATTTAATACAGTGTCATGCATCTTTAGGCACTCAAAACATAATCTGGTAAGTAAGCTGTAGTTTGCAAGGGATAGACAAGACATTTCTAAGAATAAGGTTTTCAAACTGTTATAAGGCAGCCCCGATACAAAACGGGTTTCCTTGTTATAGGGCAGCCCTGATACAAAACGGGGTGCCTGACTGTGGGTCCTCACCCACGCGCTTAAAAGGACTTATTAATGCTCTACTGCAGGCACATGCGAAAGGTTAATAAAAGGTTTATTTACAAGGGAAGAGGAAATGAGGAAATGTACAACTCAGGGAGAAAAGTGGGAGAGAAAGTTTTAAATGTGTCCTACCCAATCCGCGGATCTGGAATCCCAAATGGCACTCCAAGAGCTGGCCGCGAGCCAGGAGGCGTGAAGCCAGGAGGCGAGTGAGAGAGCGAGACCCCAAGGCCCACGTTTTTATACCCAACTCATGGTTTTTATACCCAACCTGGCTGCTTAACTCCACCCTCAGGTCCCAGCCACCTTCCCTTTGGTGGTGATGGGATTTGTCTTTCCCAATGTCCTGATGGCTTTAGTCTGGAGTGGGGGTGGAGTCCACAAAGCCTGTATGGGGTTAGCTCAGAACATCCTTTCCCCCTAACAATTCCCCCCTTTCACTTTTTGCC